GGGCAGAGACGCCAGTCGCTTCATGCCAAGACCTCAGATTACCGTAAGGATAGGGTTTTAGGGTGTTAGGGCTTTAGGGCTATAGGGCTTTAGAGGGTTTAAGGATGTACAGGGTTAGACATGTCAGGGAAAGGCTATGTCAGCCCGACAGACGGGGATTGGAGTCTCTGAATAGAACCATCAAGACATGGGGAATGCTGACTGAACACCGCTACGCTGCTTATGCTTCGTAGGCAGGTAGCAGTGCTGGCCCATACATTCGTTAGAGTGTTCACCATGTCATTTACATGCATCAACGTCAGGGGTGGCAGTAAGCGAAGGCGTCTGATCCCAATGCATGCCGGGTTGCTGATGTAATCCCAACAGGGTCCTAAGCATATAGATACATATATATATATATNNTGTATATGTATATGCATGCATGCATGGATGGATGGATGGATGGATGGATGGATGGATGTATGTATGTATGTAGTATAATGCAGGGTTTCTATGTCAGGAATGCCAATTATGTTTTGGGGAAGTATCCCCCATCACGCCCCTCACTCGGTGGGATCTTTAGCTGCAGGACACAAAGAGACCGCTGGGATCCATTTTTTAGCGCTACAATACGGTTTAGGGTTTAGGGTTTAGGGAGATCACCTATGGGTTATTGATTCTCTAAAACAGGGTCCCTTTGGGGGTCCTTGTTTATAAGGGTGCCGTACTATATTGGGATCAGACAAGGACCCTAATTTAGATGACTGCTCCTATAAAGTCTCTAAGGTTGTGCTTTGAACCTGACAGCGGCGGCACGGTTGTGTGGGGCTCAGGAACTACTTGGGGCTGATATCGGGGTGGAAAGGCGCTAAACCAGACACCAACTACTGCATTCAGTGTGGTGTATACCGGAAACAAGAAGTGCTAGTGCAATCAGAGTGCACGCAAGTCCGAGCATGATCGTGTAAACCGTCAGGGGCACAGCAAACCAAATCAGATACCTTGCAACTTTGCTCCGTTGAGTCTCCCAAACTGCAAGAAGAGGACAACCGGTGACCAGGTAGACAGCCACAGTCTTCGAAATCATTTTCAAGATGAAGCATCTTTCATCACGAGGCGAACGCCATAAAAGGAGCAGTAGGGCAAGACGAGCCGCAACGGTGATGCTGAGCATGAGCCACAGGGGCACAAATACCAGGTCAATACCGTTGCGACCGTAGACGAATTGAGAATAAATAGACCACAAGGTTTCACAGGTGAGCGGCACCAGCGCAACGAAAGGAAAAGCGATCTCGGCGTGACCCGCACCTTGAATCTCAATACCTCGATGTGCAATGTCTCGAAGTGTCGACGATGACATCCCTGCAGCTAGAAGCACATGGATAGCAAAGTCGACGTCAACGATTTTCTCGCCAATCTCTTCGAAAATCCGTGCTGCATCAGCTTGCTTGGAACATGTTGCCCGCACTATGCTGCCCGAAAACCCACAACTGAGATATTTGGCTTCCTCCATTCTGGTTTGGCCGTTGACGCGGTCCACTTCCAACAGCAAGAAGAGAGTCCAACCAGCGATAAGAAGCAAGTGCTGCTCGACCATGGCCGTGAAAGCAGGCATCTCCTCAACAGCTGTGCGCCAATGCACGAAAAGGACGCCAACGGCCAAGGCGCCGATCCTGTTCAAGAGCTTGCGACAGCTACATTGGTTGATGTTGGCGCTGATACCTGCGGCGACCACTACGACGTACAGGGGAATCGACTGCATCTTGATGTGTCGCGAACAAAGGCCTCGAGTGTTGTGAAAGCGGCTAATCTCAGGCATGTTTTGTTCGGCAGGTCTTGAATGCTACACACGTAGATACAGGCCTGGATTTTAGGCACTGAACAAAATCTTTAACAAATGAGCACCAAAGTCACCACATATCACACCCAGGAGTCCTGAAGGCAAGTCGGTCTCCAAGCGTTGACGGTTTCGGACAGCCTAACCAATCTGCGACAATCCCTAGGCACCAGTGAAATCTAGACCCGGTTTTGAGTGTACTCGCTCTATCTATGAAGCTACTCTTCGGATGAAAGTGGGCTGAGGCTGGGGCTTGAGGATTTGGGTTTACGCCCCATCTCCAAGCCAACATGACAAATCCTAAACTGCAGGGCTGTACCTACAGGAACCCCGAGACCCTCCTCAAGGGTCTTGGTCTACTCCCTCCGTTGCAACACTACTTGGGGCTCCGAAAGAATATGCCTCGGACCGATGGCGTCCTGAGAGGCTCGCCCAGATGATGGCACCGCGCAGCTGCTTGCTGTTCGAAGCCTTGTACTTAAGGTTTCAGCACTCCCAAGAGCTCTAGGGTCTAGGGACTCAGAAAGGAACTTCCAACCCAGAGCAGTAAAGGCTTCACGGAAAGACCATACTGCTTCAGGCACTTGGGCTGCTTTGCGCCTCATTCTTCTCGGAAGAGCCAAACAAATTAGAGGCTGCAACTTTCGGAAGAGTATCATCTCAACATAAGCCCTACGAAACCCTAACCCACACACACGGACATGGCATAGTAGCTGCTGGGCATGGCGACTCCATGATCAAAAGCAGTTTTGCAAGAAAGCCTCAACTGCATGAGCCCCCACAGGCCAAAGGACATTTAAATGGTTTAGGGTTTAGGGTCTAATTTAATTTAGTGTTTAGGAGTTTAAATGGTTTAGGGTTTAGGGTTTAGGGATCTAATTTAATTTAGTGTTTAGGAGTTTAGGAAGCTAAGAAGCTCTGGCAATGAAGATGGTCTTTCCTTCCTCGTGGGCGCAGTAGGCTTCGTAGCCGCACCAGAGCCTTGCCGCAGCAATCGCTCGATCGATATTTTGGTTTCAGCACTCACACTCGGACATGCCTGGGCGAGGTTCCTGGTACGACGATCGCACTTTGGCGGTAGCATTAACTCCAAGTGCCCCTGATTAAGGCGAACTATTAACAATACCTTCAGGGTTTAGGGTTTAGGGATTCGGGTCTATCATTGAGTGCCAGGTGCAGGGTTCAGGTCCTTTAGGTTTCAGGTATTGGGGTTTCAAAGCCTGGTGTAGATGCTGCAGTGGCGGTTGGGCACCACAAGGACGGATGTAGAGGCTTGGAGAGCTCGTGCGAAGGGCGATCTGCTGGGAGATTCCAAAAACGATGAAATGTCCAAATTCTGCGGGTTGGCCAGCATGCAACACCAGACGTGTCGTGAACCTGCGGGCCAGGAATGCAAGACCTTGGACAGGAACTCGAACACACCCTCTTGCCAGGCATGGCTGATGAACAAGTCGCAGTCCAAGCCATCCGGATGCCGCATCAGTGCCCAGCTGACCTTGCCGGCTTCTTCCGTCACAGGCATGATGTACTGCCTGTTCACCGTGTGGATGTTTGGCCCATACTGATCGTCGGACGACTCAAAAGGATCACTGTCATCAACAGCACGAATCTCCCCACATTGGACGGCGCACCAAAGCTCCTGCCACAAAAAGGTAAGATCTGACCGGGTGACACACCAGCGGTCGGGAGATACGCTCTCGTGCAAAGCCAAAGCCTCTGGAGTCGTAAACCTCGCTGACGACCGAGATCGAGCCATCCCATGGGCCGAAGTCAACTAATACATGTTGGGCCTTAATGATTAGAATAGGGTTCGGGGGTACACGATACTAATATGTATGTATGTATGTGTCTATAAATAAATAAATATATATATATATAATATGATATGTTATGAAAAATACATACACATACACACACACTTTTACATATACACATACATATACATATAATATACACATACATATACATATACATATGCATATACTTATACATAAATACATATATACATATATACATGTATACATGAACATATACATTTACATATACACATACATATACACATACATATACAGAAACATATGCATATAAATTATACATATACATTTACATACACATATACATATACATATGCATACACACACATACATACATACATACATACATACATGCATACATACATACGTACATACACACACGCACATACGTCCATACATACATACATACATGCATACATACATACATACATACATCCATACATACATACATACATACATACATACATAAACACATACATACATATATATTTGTATTTATTTATATTTATATTTATATTTATATTTATATTTATAGTTATATTTATATTTATATTTATATGTATGTATTTATTTAATTATTTATATGTATAACAGTAATCAGTAACCGAATAATAGATATTTATCTAAGTATTACCCTAAACCCTAAGGCCCTAGACGCATAAAATGCAATGAGGCTTCTTGTTTTGTGCTGGAGTTGAGTTCACTTGCTTCGAATCTCTGCTTCGGCTCCAAAGCCGCGAAGACCCAGAGCCACTTGTCCCTGAAACTCTAAACCCTACCTGTAGTCTCCATTGTAGTTCCTTTTTTTGGTTTAACCAATTATATATTACGGATTTTATAAGGTATCCCCAAAAAGGAACTACAATTGAGACTATAGTGACTATAGGAAAACTCTAAACCCTACCTAGACCCTTAAACGCAGTACCTTGTATTGGATGACCTATTTTATGGTTAGGATCCTAGAATAAGAAACTAAGGTAACCAAAAAAAGGTACTACATTTAAGGGTCTAGGTAAACTCTAAACCCTAAACCCTAAAGTCTAAACCTCCCAAAAAGATCTATAACCCTTACGGGGTTGAGGGCTTAAAGCTTAGGACCTTTAAGGTTTTAGGGGTCAGGACCTTTAGGGTTTAGGGTTTGGGGGTTGAGGGTTTAGGCGTTTCGGGTTGAGGGTTTGGGGTGTAGGGTTTATAGTGTTAAGTTTAGGATCTTTAGGGTTTAGGGTCCTTAGGGTTTCATGCCATGTCGAAGATTCCATATCAAGCTGTGAAGCTGCGGTCGGTTATGCAGATCAACCGAATCAGATATATAGTATATACAGTATATATATATATATAGTATGCAGTATATAGTATATAGACCTCACCCACGTCAGATTGCCGCCACAAGAGATCAGACCTGTCTGTGCAGGTACGTCCTTGTGTCCGAACGCGGAAAGAATCCGCCACCTCGCACCTTCTGCAGGGCTTCTTTCAGTTTGGCTTCCGAGAAGCCCTTTAAATGTGTTGTTCTTAGTGCCCCCCACCAGTATCCCGAACTGCCAGCTAGCTGAAGATTTTGGGATGTAGCGCTGCGGCTGCGGGTTTTGGCTTTAAAGTTTAGGGTTCAATGTGTTGCACTTTCCGCTTGGGGGACTCAAGGCTATGGGGCTGCAGATTAGCATGCTTTCGGGCTGAGAACACTTGTTAAATACATGCTATAGCTCTTGGGGAGAGTAGACAGTGCAGGGTCAGCAAAGAATTGCAGGGTCTCTTGCGTTCGGCACTCGGCCAGCAGACACTGTTGCACGGTACGGAGTGGCAAGCTTCTCGTGTTGGGGAGATTATTCTGCCTGATCCCTAACCCCCATACCCGTACAACCACATTCAGAAACCCCATGCATACCCCACGGCTTTACGGCCCAGGATTTGGAGGTTTAGGGGTTTTTAGGCTTTTGATACACCGTAGCTAAATGTCCGACCGACTACCAGTCGGGAGGCCGGACTTTGCTCTGATGCCTTTGTCTCTACCATGCAGCGCTGGGTCGGAGGGAGTTTAGGGTTGACGGTTTAGTCGGCATGATGACCTTGATGGTCTTAGTCATAGTCATCGTAGTAGTGGTGCTGGTGAAGAGATCATGACTACGATTGAGAAGTCATAGCCGGCTGTCGCTATTCCGTAGACTCAGCTGAGGACGGAGACGTGTCCCTGTCACTTTCTGTCTCCATTCGCGTCGGAGCACGAAAGGGCTCTTCGCCTCGATTCTGTCTCGGAATCACGAGCTCCAAGCGTCTAACATTCACAACGCTCACTATAACCCCACTGTTGCAACCAAAGAATCGCTACAAGACCCATCTGAGGCCCCCGTGACTAACATCCTGAATTCATGGTGTCTAAGGCTCAGGTTCTGGTATTTGGGCTCAGGCCAGGGTGGGGGGCCTACAGCAGAGATTGAACCTTGCATACAGGATGGCTAACAGCATGGATTCCGTTGAGGACGCCGGAACAAGGAGTTTTACCAGCAACTCTAAGAGTATACGAAGGCACAAGCCAGCCTTACTCCGGATCCAGGAGATCCCACAAAGAAACTAAAACCCCCAGCTAAACGTCAGCTTCTCATTGCTGCTAGCCAGGAAGCTCCTCAAAACGCAGCAGCCTGAAGACAGGGTGTTGCTTCCTACAAGCCCCCAGGCTGTGCATCATCCTAGGGACGCTTGAACATTCCCTAAGAGTTGATACTTTGGCCCCTACGTAGGTACTTCAGGGCCAAAGTACGTACTATGTGGTTACATGTCATCTTAGGCATTTTCCCCCTAAGCCCTAAACCCTAAACCCTGAGTTCACCTAAGTATGTGACCGACTCGGTGTCGGTGCACAGGGCTTCCGGCCCCTGCCATGAGACCGACAAACCGCTATTACTGGGCTTTCGGTTTAGTTTTTACGGTTTAGGGTTTAGGGTTTATAGGGCTTATAGGGTTTATAGGGTTTATAGGGTTTATAGGGTTTAGGGTTTAGGGTTTAGGCTTGAGGCCATTAGGGTGTTGGATTGAACAGCTTTAGGGTTTGGGTGTGTTCTCTCTCGCATGGCAGAGATCAAAGCTCACAGCGAGGTTGCTTACAAACCAAAACGTTCAAACGCAGCCGTACTGGCCGTTACGGATTCGGAGTTTAGGACTTAAGGATTGCGTGGTTAGGGTGTATAAGGCTTGTGCAGCCCAGTCACCCGACATGAACTCTCACCACCCGATCGATCATCTTCTGCGAGCTTCGCAAACAACCGGTGACATGCATGTTTCCGACACAGAGCACTAGTGCTCTTGAAGAGAATCTGAATCTGGACCCTAAAACCTGGCGCCCGAAACTTTCGAACTCAGCCACTTGCGTCTAAATCACCCATCCCCAAACCCCCAAGTCTCAAGACAGCAGAGCATGCACATACTGTGTGACACCCTTGTGCCCGTTTCAAGCTGACATAAACGCTTCTGCCTCTTCCTCGGGCCAGAAAAAGCTGGAGCAAGGCAGTTCCGCAGAAGGGCAGAGACCCGAGTCGTTTCATGCCAAGACCTCAGATTGCAGCTAGGATTGTCGTGAGGGCGTGTCGGGTTCAGAATTCGTCGGAAATGCCAACTTTTTCGGACTCATGGGGCTTCGACTGCATTGATGGACTGATCATAGAGTATTAGTCTCAGAACTCATGGTGAGCTCAACGTCGGAGAGCACGGAAACTCTGTGCTTGAGCAAACAGAACAACCGGCTGTCTTCACAGTTTAACTCGAATGTGCAAACAGAACCACATCCCCCACACACACACACACACATCAACGCGCAGCGAATGAGGCGTACTCAGCCAATAAACAAGGGACCATTCATCAGCATGCTCATAATTTCCAACTACTGAAAGCAATGTGAAAGCCAACTTCCAGATATACCATCTTAATTTACCGGCCCAGTAATAGCCATTCACGGCTGATTGATAAGTGGTCCTGGATTGAACAAATCGACCCGGCTTGGCCGATTGCCTTCCTGGAAGACTGCCCCCCAGGCCCCGGACCCTGAACCCTGAACCCCGAACCCTAAACCGCACAGAACCCTAAACCCTAAACCCTCAAGCCTAAACCGAATTCTTGGAGACCCCTGGCTCCCTCAACTCTCCCGTCCACAGGACTGCCCTATGCTATAAGAGCCCAGTTACCCAATGTGGTGGGCTACTGTTCCTTGGACCCTGTAGAAACCTTCTAGCACCCATAAGCCAGTAATCCACTATTCGGCATTACAGGGTCAAGGTAGAGCTGGACCCTATAACGTCTTGCCCTTTTTCTGGCTACGTTACTTTCTTCGTATAGGATCCTAACCATATTATCCAACAAAATACTACAGTCTAGGGGCGCACTCGGCGATAAATCTGTCCTAGACAAGCGACGAAGTGTACTGATTGAAATTTATACAGAAAACGGCTAGACGACTGCTGCTAAAGGCAAGCCAGGCGCATGCAAGTCCGAGCATGCTCGTGTATACTGTCAGAGGCACAGCGAACCATACTCGGTACTGTGCAACTTTGCTCGGATGAGTCTCCCACACTCCAATAATAGGACAACAGATGATCATGTAAACAGCCACAATCTTCGACATCATTTTCAAGATGAAGCATCTTTCATCACGAGGTGAACGCCATAACAGGAGGAGCAGGCCAAGGCGATCCGCAACGGTGATGCCGTGGATGAGCTGGATGGGGACGAAACGTAGGACAATATTGTGGCGGAGGTAGAAGAGGCAACAGTACATAGACCATAAGGCCACGCAGGTGAGCGGCACGAGCGCAACGAAAGGAAGAGCAATCTCTGCATGCCCCGCGCCTCGAATGTCAACCCCTCGACGTGCAATCTCCCGAAGTCTTGGCGATGACATGCCTGCGGCTAGAAGCACATGGATAGCATAGTCCACATCAGCGGTTTTCTGGCCAATCTCTGCGAAAATGCGTTCTGCGTCAGCTTGCTTGGAACATGTTGCCTGCACTATACTTCCCAAGAACCCAGAACTGAGATGCTTGGCTTCCTCCATTTTGGCAACACCGTTGACGCGGTCCACCTCCAACAGCAGAAAGAAAGTCAAACCAGCAAAGAGAAGCAACCGCTGCTCCACAAACGCAACGAAAGGAGGCACCGCCGGAACACCGTCATCATCGGGATCGAATTCTACCGTTTGCCAATCCATGAAAAGGATGCCAACGGCCAAAGCGCCGATCCTGTTCAAAATCCTGCGACAGCTATCGTGGTTGATGTTGGCGCTGATACATGCGGTGGCCACTACGACGTACAAGGGAATCGGCTGGAGATTGATCTGTCGCGAACAAAAGCCTGGAGGCACATCTTGACTCTTAATTGAGTGCTACATCAACACCGAAAAAATGCAGTATATAAAGCATCAAAGGCGCCACATATCATGCCCAGGAGTCCTGCAGGGAAATCGGTTTTGCAAGATGTATTGACAGGTTGCAGGGTTCCGGACAGCCTACCCAAAATGTGACAAGCCTCCTTGTACAATCTGCAACCAGACGCCCGATGTTGATGTTCCCTACTCTGCGAAGCTGCTGAATTCGGGCTGGGGGCGTAGATGTTCAGGCTTGAGCACATAGTCGGCATAGTGCCGCGGCAGCAAAACCCTAAACCCCAAGCTCAACCGTAAATCCTAAACTCTACAGCACAAGCCCTGCACTTTACCTAGAGGGAACCTATGACCCCTTCTTGAGGGTGTCTTGGAGTCTTTTATATGATTAGAAAAGAGTGTTTGTGGGTACAGTACTCTATCAGTACATTCAAGGACCGAGTCAAAAACTGTAGTATTAATCCATAGTTGCTGCAAGCCCAAATTTTGCCATACAGAACCCCAACCCCTATAATCCCTAAACCTCGAGAGAGCCCTCCAACAGAAAAGGTTTTGGATTCCCTAAACCCTTTTTTGAAACCCAGGTGGTAAACCCTAAACCCTAAACCCTTTTTTGAAACCCAGGTGGTCAACCCTAAACCCTAAACCCTTTTTTGAAACCCAGGTGGTAAACCCTAAACCCTAAACCCTAAACCCTTCTTTGAAACCCAGGTGGTCAACCCTAAACCCTTTTTTGAAACCCTGGTGGTTTGGCTCCGGGGAGTCCTGAGAGGATGCCCCAGAAGATGGCAAGGCGCAGCTGTTTGTTGTTCGAAGCCTCAAACTGGGGGGTTTAGGGGTTTGGGGGTTTAGGGGTTTAGGATTTAATGGTTTAGGGTTTGGGGCTAAATAGGGTTTAGGATTTAATGGCTTAGGGTTTAGGGGTTTAGGGGTTTGGGGTTTAATGGTTTAGGGTTTAGGGGTTTAGGGGTTTAGGGCTTTGGGGTTTAATGGTTTAGGGGTTTTACATCCTCGGAGTCGCAACTTTCAGACAAAGAATATTACAGCAATACCTTAGCTTATAATACGAAGTACGAGGTACTTGCAATAATAATTATACTAACAAATGCCAGAACCAGCACCGTGGCTGCGGCACGAATCCCGCCCCGCAACGTGTGCGGGACTGTGACCGGAGTCAAAAACATGAGCACTGTGCTGTGGCCGCAGATGTATAACACTACGGCTAAAAGACTGAGGGAACTGTGACGGGAGCACCATCTCGATTTTCTCATCCTAAACCAAACAGCGGCGGAGTTTCGAGACAAAAGCCTGACAGTGCCGTCCTGCCTGGACTTTAGTTATAGGGCCCTCGCGGTGTACCGTCCAAAATGGCGCACGGGACTGTGGGCGGAAGCGTGGCTCATCAAAATCAGCTTACCAGGTGACCGTGGCCGCGGAGGGACTGCCCCTGACGCGAGACGCCTACGTAGTCGAGACTGGGGGAAATGAACCCTGTAAGCCTCAACCCAAAAACTTTGAGGACATCACGAGTTTGAAGTTAGAGACTACGGCCAATTTAGCAATATAATCTCAAAAAGTAAGTTGCAGCAAATCTTGGCATGTTGATTGCATAAGGTTAAGACCACATTTGCTGCAAGGTGTATGGATCGGAGGTTAGTGATTTACAGTTCTAGTCACGAGCCTCAGCTTCAAGAACCCAAAAAAGTTGCAAACGGCTTCCTTGCTGAAGACTTGAGAAGCTCGGGCGATGAAGATGGTCTTCTCCTCCTCGTGGGCGCGGTAGGCTTCGTAGCCGCACCAGAGCCTCGTCACCCAAAAGTCGGACTCTGGAACTGTCGGTGAGATTACCCTAACCGCCCAGGTACCTACTATATAGGGCCCTAGGGGCTCTAGTACCCTATATAGTAGGTACCTGGGAGGTTTAGGGTTCGGTATTAGGGTGCAGGGTTTAGGGTCCAAGGACGCTTCGGGTTTCTAATCCCATGACTTGGGCTTTGCTAAAGCCTGGTGTAGATGCTGCAGTGGCGGTTGGGCACCACAAGGACGCAAGTAGATGCCTTGAGCGCTCGTGCGAAGGGCGAGCTGCTGGGAGATTGCAAGTAGGATGAAATGTCCAAATTCTGCGGGTTGGCCAGCATGCAACACCAGACGTGTCGTGAACCTGCGGGCCAGGAATGCAAGACCTTGGACAGGAACTCGAACACACCCTCTTGCCAGGCATGGCTGATGAACAAGTCGCAGTCCAAGCCATCCGGATGCCTCATCAGTGCCCAGCTCACCTTGCCGGCTTCTTCCGTAACAGGCATGATGTACTGCCTGTTCACCGTGTGGATGTTTGGCCCATACTGATCGTCGGACGACTCAAAAGGATCACTGTCGTCGCATGGACGAATCTCCCCACACTGGATGGCGCGCCAAAGCTCGTCCCGCAAATAGATAAGATCTGACCGGGTGACGCACCAGCGGTCGGGAGATACGGTCTCATGCAAACCCAGGGCCTCTGGCGTCGTGTATCTCGACCGAGATCTCGCCATCGCCATCAGCTACCCCTTCACAGAGCCCTTATGATCAGGAACAGAGACTTAGGAAACCCAATGACCCCTACTGTTGATGATACAAATCCTGCATTACCCATAATATACGTACCATAATTCCCATAGTTTTGGGCCCTTAAGGTAATGCAGGATTTACATCATCAACCGTAGTGCCCTATAGTTGCCTTTCAATGTCAGCTTCTGCATCTGCCACCTGTTAAACCAAGGCTTTTCAAATCTCTGCAGACCTTGAGCTCCTCAAACTCGATCCCAAAAGCTCTGCGGATTCGATCTTTGGGCAAACCATCCGTACTAAAAGCAGGTGAGTTGGGCTATTCGGGCTAATTACTAGGGACCTTAAGGCATGGCTTCTGCCATGTCGAAGAAAGTCCTTTTTCAAGCTTTGGAAAAAACCCGCCAGAAGATGTGCGAGCGACTGCGGAGACGATTATTACATCAGACCGGGGCACATGTTTAGGGTTTAGGGGTTTAGGGTTTGTTTCAAAGGAGACTTGTACCTCTTTTACCGGCAGTGAGCCGACATGAGGTGGAGATGATCATCGGTTCTGAGACAACTCAAACAGCAAAGTTCCACACGGTTTAAGAGCCTGGAATGTAGGTAGTTCGCTAAATGAGGGCCCCTTTTTGGGGGTCCCCAATATAGTACGAAACCCTTCTAAAACGGACCCTACAAGGGACCCTGATTTAGAGAAATGCCCATTTAGGCTGATGCAGCATCCTCGGCATCGGGCCATTAGAAAGCCATAGACTTTCCCTAAACCCTAAACCCTAAAACCCCTAAACCTCTAAACTCCCTAAACCCTAAACCCCTGAACCCCTAAACAACCTGCGGCCCCGAGGAGAGCGAACCCTTTGGGGCTTTTAGGGGGGGTTGAGGCTTTTGGGGCCCCTTAGGGTTTAGGGGTTTAGGGTTTAGGGTGAAGAGACCTGCGTTTAATTTATAGCGGCCTGAACAAATTAGAGCAGGCTTTCGGGATACGGCTGATGATCTAAATCCTGCATTACCCATAATGAGGAATATACCATATCATCAACCGTATTCAATACTTATCATTCTAATTTTGGAGCCCCATAGTACCAATGCCTCGATATGAGCCCGACACCCCAGCCCTCAACCTTTACCCTAAACCCTCATCCGTATACACCGAAGAAGTAGTCATCCCACTCTAACACACTCTAACATGTTGTAGCAAGGGTAATACTTGCAACAGTCAAGAGCCGCGGTTTCAGGAGAGATACGAAGAGAGACTTGCGCGACATGCTGCCGTTTGTCCGAAAACTGAAACAGCCACTTAGCCTGATACCTCTCTTATGATCCCCAAGGCTACGGCTTAGGGTTGAGGGTAGACTCATACCAGTCTTCCTATTTCACGTATTGTGGGCGCACTCTGGGAAGCCTGTCTGGGCAATAAGGCATACGTTTGTGCCGTGAGAAGATGTGCAAACTGAGAGTCTTGAGACGACGATCGCATCAGACCCTGCCAGGGTGCTTTCGAACATGCTTTCGAAATTGCGACCTGTACCAGGACCCTCCAAGTACCCTGAAATAGGGGGTATATGGTCCCAAATTAAGGGTATTTAGATTTAGATGTATTTAGGGTCTCATCGAGGGTAGATGGAGGGTCTAGGTAGGCGGAAATCTGAATCAACCCGTCACCTCCCACCGGCAGTCTGACATCTGAACTGGACAACATTGCGATGGAGACTACCCATAGGCTCCTAAGTAGCTCCTTTTTTGTGGTTTATATTTAGAATCTTATGAGGTAATCCCCAAAAGGAACTACTTAGGAGCCTATGGGTATCATCTGCTCTGACACAACTACAGCAGCAAAGCTGCACACGGCTCGGTAGCTACATCCTCGGCATCGGGCCAAAAAAAAGCAAAGTTAAGACTCCCTGAGTAAACAGCAAGATGCGTAACCCTTCGATCCCAAACCCGGCAAGCCCTAAACAATGCTCTAAACCCTAAACAATTCTAAACCCCTAAAGCCCTAAACCCCTAACCCCTAAACCCTACGCCCTAAACCACCCTAAACCCCTGGAAAGGGACCCCTAAAGCCAGAACCTATGAATTGAATGAAGAGCCCTGCGGGCCGTTTGCCCGACAAATCGCCGTCTGCCCAGTCAGGCTCGCTCGGTTTGGGTTTTAGGAAAGCTGTAAACTTGAGGGTTCAAGTTTTCACGGTTTTGGGGCTTCGGGTTTCTAGGGCCTTGAAAGCGTAGCGGCATTTTAAGATTCAAAGCTTATACCACAAGTGTAAGAGCTTGGCGCTCGCAGCTGCCACTTAGGGGTTCGGCGGTTCCGGTGAGGCTCCCAGCTTCGAGCTTCTAGATTCTAGCACCCACGACACGAAACGTTCCGCCAGAGTTGCGCATTGGCATTGGCCACTCAGCTACCACTCCTGTCCACAGCGGCACCACAAGTCAGTTGGAACGAAACTTGTGTTCAAGTTGACCCTGCCGACGAGTCCGCTGAGAATCGTGGCCTGGATGTGGTCGCAGTGGCGACTGCTACTACTCCTGCTACTGCTGCTGCTACTACTGCTGCTGCTACTGCTCCTCCTGCTGCTGCTGCTGCTGCTGCTGCTGCTACTGCTGCTGCTGCTGCTGCTGCTGCTGCTACTGCTACTGCTACT